TTCTCAGTGAGAAAATAAACATTTCTGAATATCCTTCCTTCCTCATGAGTCATCAGCAGTTCTTTCTTTTATTTTATTTTTATTAGAATTCAAGAATATTATTATTTATTTTTGAGTTTTTACTATTAAACCTGCATAAATGTTACAAATAAACCTGTGGCGGCAAGGGATTTATATGTTCGGATAGTACTAATAAAAATATAAACGATGCCTAAATTTGGTTCAACAGCGGGACGACCTCTTCAAGATCGAGGTCGGGCAATTTGTCCAAACTAGGTCGGCGTGACCAACCAAATCGTCCTCCAGAACTTGCAAAACATAATAGCTAATGAGGGTGACACCAGCTCCCCATCCTTACCCCCGTCCACGCCCCCATCCCCAATAAGAAATTTGAAGGAATCCCCATTGGGGGGTTGTCTCCCAAACCCTCCCCGAATCCCCGATTTTTTTATTAAAAGAAATATTTACCTTACTTTATAACACTTCAATTTCACCTTAAACTATCATTTAACTTAGTTATATTCAATTGAATTATAAAATTCAACTAAACTAATCCAAATCATCTCAATTTAATTTATTTATTTTAACTTCATATTATCCACACCAAAGTCATCTAAATATAAAATTCAACTCAACGATCATGTAACTTTTTGCTTGTTATTATATTATATATAATTATGAAGTAAAAATAAATATATCACTTATCGCCTCAATTGGGGATTTTTAAAATTCAGGGATCCGCGTACTCGCCTCGAATTTTCCCCTGTTAGGGGCGAGGACCCAATGGGGACCCACCCTGGTAAGGGTTTTTGTCATCCCTACCTCAGACTAGGACTCCCTTTAGATAGTTGTCTTGATGATCTCGAAACATCCTAGCTTCTCTAGTCAGCCTTACCCACATTGGGCCCAAACTCATGGACCAACGGACCTACAAGCCCACCTGAGCTACGATAGGAAAATTATATGACGATCAGGCTCAAGCCTAGCTCGACCACTTGATATATCCAGCTCAGCTTGACCACCTTGACTTGAGCTTAGCTCGATCTCGTGTTTTTGCTTAGCTTGGTCTAAAGGTATTTTACCTCACAAACTATTAATGTGTTTGTATGAGATGTGCTAGCTACAACTATATGACTATTTTTTACGGCTTATAAGTGATATGTTCAGCTTAGAAATAAAGGAAACTTACTTTTAAGCTTTTGTTCATAACGTACGTGGGTGAGCCTAAACAAAACAAGATTATCAATAAATTGAGTTAATATTGGGTTAGTTGAGAAGCTTAATTAAATGAATTATATTTGAATCCAATCATATTTGAATCGACTATTTTTGACACAAACACGATCCATTAATTCGAATTGACACCCTAACTAATGGAAGAGGGGGGAACAAGTTGTACAATGTGATTCCTCGTTTGCCTTCTACCTACTAGCAATACTTCCAATGTATATATATGTGGTAGGGTTTGGCTGCAGGCACACCAACTTTTGGCCTCACTATATAATTACCCAGCTTCAAAACTCCCCCATCTTTTTCCCACATCCTAATCTTCCCTGCAGAAAGCTGTGGGCAAGTCATCAAGAGCAAATATCTTTCTTATTTTTTTAGTGTAGGAAATAAAAGCGCGCGAAAAGAAAGGAGGAAAAAAGGGTTGAAAAATAGGAGGGGGTTGAGATGATTGTGAGAGCTGGGACATGATGATCGAAGATGGAAGGGGGAAGCAAAATGATTAGGCATGAGCATGAGAAGCAATTATGTGCCATGAGAGTTTGTGTGTAATGTACTCTATCTTTACTTTTTTATATATATTATATTATATATTTTAGCTTCTTACCCCACGTTATCATAACATGCTAATCCTTTCCATCACCACAATAATCATAGATTAATATATTAGTTAATTAAACAACCTAAACCCGGAAAACAATAAAGAAAAAGCTAATTGTACTTCTGGAACATTTATTTGGGACTATTTTAATTAATAAGTTTTATGCATACATTTATCCTATGTTAATTAATAAACTATTAGTCTGGATTATACATCATATGATTGCATATTCTCAGTGAGAAAATAAACATTTCTGAATATCCTTCCTTCCTCATGAGTCATCAGCAGTTCTTTCTTTTATTTTATTTTTATTAGAATTCAAGAATATTATTATTTATTTTTGAGTTTTTACTATTAAACCTGCATAAATGTTACAAATAAACCTGTGGCGGCAAGGGATTTATATGTTCGGATAGTACTAATAAAAATATAAACGTATTATAACACGAATGAATTGGTAACACAATGTGGCATCGTTAAACTCGACTAACACCAATGTAACACAGATGTGTGATTGCGTGGTGCTATAGTCCTACGCGAAGAAGATGAAATTGTGTGTAACTAATTAAGAATGTAATTAATTGGATACATTGAAGGCAAACTATAGACCTCCAAAACATGAGCCACGAGCCTTGTCCTCAAATTTGGACCCCGTTATATTATGATGTCCAAGATGCGGTGAAACCCAAGCAATCCAATTGGGTCCCCTACTTTGCAGACATTTATATCGTTAATTTGTCGTCTCATGAGAAATGCACACATGGCATATTTCTACTCACTCTAAGTGTTTTTCTCTTCTATTATTATTTTTATAAATAAATAAATAAAACAAAGTTGTTTATAAATTTAACCAAATCGATCAGAAATTGGGTCTTCCAGGGGCCGGCATGGATCCGAAATTCCACCATGGAATGAAGAATCCAAGGCCATAATTCTCCATGCATGATGCCACTCCACAATATGGCCTGCAGTTGGTAAGGGGGACCCATCATATGCAAGCAACCTCATATAATGCAGCCAAGGCAGCCTTCTCTCTCTCTCTCTCTCTCTCTCTCTCTCTCTGTGATGAAAAAATAGTCTCCTGCAATGTATGCAGTGGTCACCGCTTGGCCCATGAATCCGAGGAAATTACATGGGGGCTCACAGATTATGTTTTTCTCAATCATTTGGTTTTGGATTAGCGTAGAATTTTAGATTCACTAATTCCTTTCACTTGAAATTAGTAAATAAGAGATCAGAGAGAAGGTTAAAAATCTAACTTTGTTTTTATCAAAGAAGAATAACTTCATTAGCTGAAAGAAACAACAATAAAATATATGATGAAAAAAACGAGTGATCTCATTAAAACCTTGACCTTAAAAATTCACACAAGAAGAAAATTCGGTAAAAAAAAAGTACCACAACATTCATTTCAGCCTAAACCCTTCAGCCATCCAGCAAATCGAACTACGCCAGAAGATGAGCCACACCTTACCTTATTAAAAAGGCAATGCCTCTTCTGAGTGATTTTTAATAATTTAGTCGTATTTATCCTTTTAAAATTGTAAGAGATTTCAAATTCAAGTTCAGTTTCCCTCGTTGAATTAAAAAAACAAAAACAAAATCATATTGAGAACACGACAAATGCTTGTAATAGATGTTTAAACAACTTTTCAAAAAAAAAAATGGAGATGATTTTGGTTAATTTTTTTCAAGAGTAGATGATTTTGGTTTAAAAAGAACATAAAAGGACGTCAAAAGCTGGATTTCTCTCACACAACTTCTTCTACCTACTACGTTCAACCAATCCCCCCACCACCCAGAGATATGTTCGCCACAATATATATTATATAACCCACCCCCCATGAGGTTCATACAATTGTTTATATAACCCACCCTGTATATATATATGATATGCAGTACACATTGACAGAGGCTCAAGACACCTCCGATTCCCTTAAGGTACTCCATACAAAAAACATTGTCACAAGCTGCGGTTGTCATAATCCTTCCGTCTCAGGATCCATAATCAAATCCCTAGAAAATAAAGAGGAATTCATGGAATCCCTTATATAACCCAATTCAACACAACCTGGTTTGGACGGAACTATCTCTCACCCGTTGTTTGGTGAATTTATAAGTTATTAAATTGGATAATATGGGAACATAGTGTGTTTTTCGAGTTCCACAAAGAATGGTGAGATTCATAAAGATGAATCAATTCCAATATAATCCAAGCCAAGCCACCATGAGTCCGCACATTAGTTCGGAATTTGGTTCGAGTTGTCACTTGTGAATCGGGAATGAATTCTTCAAAAGAGCAGTCACTAAGAAAACTCGATGCAATCTATAACTTATATAAAAGTTTAATACACACGACGGATGTGAAAGGACTGCCATATATGAAAGGAAAGCAAACAACGCAGTTTCATAGCTCATTATTCTGAATGATTCGCTATTAATTAAGGGCCGCATGCCAGTAAAGGCATTTTTGCCTTTTTCATCACCATCAACTTAATTATACCAAACACATAAATAAATGGCAAAATTCTACACCTAGAGATAGGTAAAAACCAAAAGAAAAATTAAATAAGTTTCAAATATAAATATATAAATGCCAGCAGGGAAAGCTCAAACTGGTTGTTATACCTGTACAACAACACAACGTGCATGGTGTGGAGCTGATTTCGCCATGCATGGTGGTGGAGCAAATAAAACAATGAATAAATTTGCATATGGCCTGAGTGTCAGCCCATTATATACACATTATATAATATATGATATATATATTTATATATAATATATACATATAGACAGAGACATATTAATATGTAGTTATTCTTGCGCCGGACATTTAAATAAGAACCGGCTTCGTATGCGTCCATGGAGAAAAAAAAATATTCTCGGGAAAGTTAGGTTAGAAAAAGAAAACGCAAGAAGAAAAGTTCCTTTTTCTTTCGAAACAAACAGTCACTATCCGACAGAAATTCTTCCAAAATATCGCGAGAAGACGAGAGAGAGGACAAGAACAAATGGAAAACATGCACGTTAAAATGGGATCAGATCATATGGTTTCGCTGTAGTAAACCACGTGAAGAGATGCATCAAAGTTCGTCCAAATCAGAAATAAAGCGATCCCTTTTTTCCTAAACCAGATTTTATTGTGGTTATTTTAACGGCTGACCTCTGTGCTTCCTTGAGGGAAAAAAAAAGTGACCCCACTCTCTCCCTGTTAGAGTAGAGCAACATAAGAGAGAGAGAGAGAGAGAGAGAGAGATGTTGATGTGTTGAGAGGTGTATATTTGCTGCATTGGATCCTTCGCCGAAGTAGTGTTTTGAAAGCTTCCCAAATTCTCTCTCTCTTTCTCTTTCCTTATTTCTTTCTGTGTATGTTTTCTTGAGGGGGGCTAGAATCCAAAGAAGCTGATAGAAAAGGTGCATGGAGATTTGGAGATAATATTTCTGGTTCATCAATCCCATTTAAAAACCCGTGTTGCCTTGTATTTTTTCCCTTTGTTTTGTTGGTGGTTCTCTTTTTCCAAATCTCATTCATTCTGTCATTGAATTAAAACCCTTTTTATGTACACGTACACCTTCTCCAAGTCAATTCCATTAATCATGGATGGCGAGACAAATATTAGCCCTCCTCCAACTTCTCAAATATTGGTTTCTCAGAAAAATCGTGGCCCTCTGAGCTCCATGGATTTCAATTTCTTGGTTAGGCCCACGTTGGATTTCCATCGCCACGAGTGCCAAACGTCACGTTGCAAAGACAAAGAAGAAGATGGAGGCCAATTACAAAGCTCAGAAGAGAAGCAAGAAGACAACTTCGACATGTTTGTTTCGTCTTTGAAGGTCCAAATTCCATCGGCAGGAGAATTCTGCAGGCTCCTCCAGCAAGACGATAACGTTGATGGCGTTGTGGATGATGAAGGGTTGAAGACTCCTACATCTTTGGATCACAAAATAACAGTGAACCTCCAGTGTCCACCTGCGCCAAGAAAACCCAAGTCACTTCCGCTAAAGAAGCGAAAAGGAGCTGGCCATCCCAGAATTTTACTCCATCTATCGAGCGAGATCGAATCACTGTTTCCTCCAGTGGATGATCTTCTTGCAGATGTTCATGTCGGTGGTAAGATTAAGAAGAAACTTAGAGTGTAGGAGGCTAAAAAATCAAGGCATATGGTGATCAGCTTGATCTCTGAATATGTGGAACCAAATTTACATTTTATACCAATTAATGGAATATTTGGTGATCAATGTTATAGCTGTGTACTCTTCTCCATTTTCATGTGTAGTGTTCAGGTTTCTCAGTTGATCTCATCAAATTCATCTTCTTAATTAATTTCCCTTTTTTTTTTCTTTTTTTGGGACAATGGGAAATTGGCCCAGATCTGAATCAGATTATGTAACTTCTGTAATTTATCAAGGATGAATTTTGCATAGGGTTCCATTCCATTAATAATATATAGGCCCCCAAGTTTTTTACTTTGAATCCAGGTGTTATATAATTGTAGTACTTTGTAATGGAGGTGAAATAATGTGTCTTGACAGAAGCACTGTTCACAAAACTGAAAGGAATTGATAATCTCTCTCTCTCTCTCTCTCTCTCTCTCTCTCTCTCTGTGTAGTTTCTATAGAATGGCGATTGGATGGCATTGACTTTCTTAATTTGTTTGGAAATGGAGTGGCCTGCACTGTCTTGTCCAAGAGATGCAAACATCCTTAGCCTGCATTGTTTTTACCAGAGGTGAGCAAACCCATTTGGTATATTCCTCCATTGATGACGTGACAGAAAAATATCCAATAACAGCTAGCAATAATAATCAAATACTCTCTCTCTCTCTCTCTCTCTTCAAGGAGGCCTTGATTGGCCCCTACCTTCTCTTAATGTTGGGGTCTCTTTTGCAGCTCCCACCACAAGTACATCAGCCTTTTACTTGACAACCAATTGAATATGTCCATAAATTATTGCAGCATGCAACCAGAATGCATTCTCCAACTATCAATTCCATCTAACTAATTCTTCCATTTCCCTCCCAAAACCCCAAATTAATGGATAATGGGTTGAATGGTAGGTAGCAAGATAAGCTCTGTTTGTAGTGTGTGTGTGTGTGTGTTTTCAAATTTTTATTATTTCAATATATATAGCACGAGGAATTTTGGTTTGATGCATAATACATGCTTTCTTTTCCTTTATTCTGTTGGTTTTGGAATATTTTAGATATAAGTTCAAGGTAGAAGGTTTATTGAAACTTGAAACCAACTCTAAAATAATCCAACTCTCGCTTGTTGATGAATTTGAGAGATCTACTCAATCCTTGATTCTTCTTGAAAGATGGAAACTCTGCTACTAGTTGAACTAATTTATACATGTTGATGGTTTACTATAAATTAAGGAGAGATGTAAAACTATTTGATCCACAATTAGTAACAAGTTGACCTTAATTACATATTGGACAGAATTGTCGTATTTGAGCTAGAGATGGGTTGAAGATCTTTCTCCCAAATTTTGTGTCTGGTTACAAGGATTAAAAAATGATTAGTCTAATTAATCCATGTTTGCATAAAGAAAACAAAGAAGCAATGCGGTCCACTTGGTGGATTTCGAAGATCAACCTACCTACCCAAGGACATGTTTTACATCCATGATTATAATTAAGCTTGTCATCGGTGTTGTTTTTTACGATAATCATTCCAAGCTCTCACACTTACAATTCTAATGAGAGGTCATTTTAATTATTGTTTTCACTCCTATTTTGGATGATGATAGATTAGGCCGGACATTGGCCCGAAGTATTTTTTGTTAAATCTTTTTTTGGTTTTTTTTGGTTCGTCCGCCTTGTAACCCAAAAAATAAGAAAAAAAATGAAAACCAAATTGTGGTAAACATATTGATGTTTATGTGTACTGACTTCCTGCAGAGAGGTACCCTACTGACACCTCTCTCTCTCTCTCTCTGTGTTTTGTTTTTTCTTTTTGAAATTGAAATTAAGAAGAAATATTCCTGAAATATGAAAAATATCAATTCGTGCAGGTGTTGATGGAGTTAAGGAAGTCAGTTCAGTACGTATGTAATTGGAATTTGGATGTTTTATCTGTTTTTTTGGGAGTTGGAATTATGTGGGAACTTTCCTTGTATGTAAGTAACTCATATATATTTACACACACGCATAAAAAAAATTATTACTTTGTGTCTTCCTGTATAGGGCCAAACCAATTGAAGCTATGAGACTGAGGTGTCTGAATTTCAGTAGGTTAGGATTTGGTGGTACCGTTGCTGCATGCAGGTACAAAAAGCCAGCCATTTCTATCTACTACATCTGCTTAGCTACATGTCAAATTGAATTGTCATGGGCCGACTGGTTTCCTGCAGCAACTTGCAGTGCCCTCTTGCAATATATAAAAGCCACAAACGTGATAAATGCAGTTTTGCTAGCTAGATAATGAGTGAAATTAACTTGCATTCATCCCGTCCTTCTCTATCACTTAATATGTGAGGAGAGAGATAAAGAGAGATAAGGAGAGAACGGTAGGTATAATCCGGGTGTATGCAAGTTTCCATATCTCATCACTCTCTATCATTTTTTTTTATGTCATTGATCACATAATGAGATAGATAAATAAAGACTTGTAGGTATCCGGGTGTATGCAAGTTTTCATATCTCGTCGCTCTCTATCGTTTTCTTGTGTCACGTAATGAGATAGATAAATAGAGACTTATAGGTATCCGTTGTATGCAAGTTTTTGTCTTAGCTAAGATAAGGTGGTCTATAACTGCAGTGATTGATGTAACACAATGATTGAAGAACCCCTCCTATACCCAAAAAGAAAAGAAGTTACTACTTAATAAGGAATAATTTAAAGAAAATATTAAAACAAGATTGTCAACTCGAGCTCTATAAATTTTGTGGTTTTGCCTATAGTTGCCTGCTCATAGACAACTGATCACTTCATTTCGAACGTGCATCTTGCGTTAGGAGTCGTTAATACTATTTAGTCTAATATCCAGAAGATAAGAGCATTTTTCTTGAAATGCGCTCTTGGTTTTAGGAGTCGTTAATTCAGCTGAAGATCCACCATCCAACTGCAAAAAGAAGTGCCAAAAGTTTTCAAGTAAGCCCAAACTAGTTGTCGTTAATGGGCTAAACTTCTGCAGCCACAAGGAAGCAACTTGTCTTATACCAAAACAACCAAGAAAAACTGGGCTTTGGTTGAATAAGATCTCTGGTTTGGGGTTTTAAGGATCAAAGCAAGCATACACCTGCTCTTTCTAAAAGCCCTGTCTCGTCTTTTTCTTTTTCGTCAACAAAGCCCTGTCTCGTCAATCATACTTTACAGGAAAATTCTGGAGCGATTTGCGATTACGGGTCCTTCTGGTGGGGAGATGCTACAATTAGGGGATGTGGGTGGTTGAGGTGGTTGAGTGAGGGGTTCAATCCGTAAACTATATTCTGATTTGCATTTTAGTCAATGAATTCAATTATGTAGTCCTTAAACTCTATTATGAGTGGCATTTTAGTCAATTTCCTTCATTTGTGTCAATTTGAGCATTTATTTGAGGGGTAAAACGGTCAACGTTGGTCTCCTTTTTTTCCTTCATTGGTCTAACTAACTATAGTTTTCCTCCAAATACACAGCTTACCTTCAAAGATCGTTATCATTTGTGCTAGAGACCAAATGACCGAGGGAACTAGCGGACTCGGAAATTTTTTAGCGGAGATGCAATATTGATTAAGTATGAAAAATAGTTTTTCGGAATAATCATTTTCTCAAGATAATTTTTGGCGGCTTTTGTTCTATACACATCAAATAAGAAAACTTGATTTTATGGGATTTTAGTATGAAGTATATATTGACTTAATGAGCCATCATTTTTAGCCTAAATCGTATTTTGCACTAAAACCGAATTTTCATATTTTGATTTGGTGGGAATTTGATTTTCTAATATTTTTATTTGAATCCAAATGGGGGATACTTCTTTGTTTACATTGTAAACTTAAGTAAATGGAGTAATACAAAAATAAATAAAAGTAAAATGACAAAGACATTTACTTAAATGTTGAAGATGGAAATAAGGTAATCTGTACACCAGTTGAGCAAAGGGCAATTTCAAGCATCTACAATGGTTTTTCCAGCGAAAGGAGGTGCAGCTGCACCTCTTTGCGCCTTAGTAGGTCCGCATCTGATCGAGGGGTTTACCTTAGTGGTGAGGTCCCTCCCCCTTTCCCCATTATTCACCCGTTCGAATCCCAGAATAAATGCCCCCCTCCCCAATCCATTGTATCTATCACTAATTCTAAAAATATAAATAAATAAATTTAGAGACCAAAATGCAAATCTAGCTCTATTTCAAAAACATTTGATATAATTGATGTTAAGAGGTTGATAAATGCTCTTGCTGTGGACAGCTGGATCATGGAATAGAATACTAACGCATGGTGAACGTTTTCACCCCCACAAAAGGAGGAGATATGGGAAAAGCAACAGGTCATACTGCGTGGGCCCAGTTAGTAAAAGTTTGGGCTTGGCCCCACGACAAAAGGGGCTTGTGGGCCAAAAGAAATGGAACACTCAATGGCAGTGTGTGACCGTTGTATCCAGCAAAATAAAAGTCTCTCTGTTTTTCCAAATGAATATATGCTCCAGTTGATCTCTACAATCTTGACTAATCATAAGTCAGTATATTTAAAGATTAATGAAGAACACTACAATGGAGAGTTTGTTAATGTTCTTTGTTACAAGAACACTGTTTCACTCCTTACATGTAGGGTTTCATTCCCACTCCTTGGCAACTATGAACGTATACATAAATAATTGATTAAAAATAATAAAGAAATAAAATTATATTCCAATAGCAATACAGAGAGGGAAAATGTAACTGTTTATTGTATTAATCTATTTGTAGGGAAGGGTGTGTGGGGTATATTTTTATATCATTTTATAGAGCAGCTTCTGAACCTTTCTTGGATTTATGCTTTTGTTTAGTCTTGATTTTCATTTTCTTAGTACAAAATGATTCTGTTTTCTCTTTCTAGTCAACACTCAACAAAACCCAAGAAAAGCAGAGAAACAGTGCTAACAAATGATTACCCGTCTTACTTTGGATCTCCTCCTCCTTGCTATTTACTCTCTCTCTCTCTCTCTCCTTCTAATGTACAGGTGATGTTCTTAATCTCCTGTGCATAGAGATGACCTCTATATAGAGTTACCCAATTACCAATTCACCTCAGTCATCTCTGAGTCACTGCAAGTCCCTTGTGCTTATCTACAATGCCAATTAAGGAAATGACAGTTTCATTTACCTGAGGTGACCTCATTGAACTTCACCAAAGCCAAATCAGTCACAGGAGCAGCACAAGTGCTTTTGGCCCCTGTCAAGCATGGCTCAACAGGTACCGCTTTGTCTTCTATCTCATTCTCCTTGGATTTTTGCCCCTCTGGGTTCAACACTAGCTCTGATTCATTTGTTTTTCTTACTAAATTTC